TCCGACTCCGACTCTGACTCCGGCTAAAACACCAAAACTCCACGACTCCGACTCCGACTCCATAGCCCTGCTTTTAACTAATAATTTCGAAAAAAGCATTAATAATGTATAATTATGAACAGAAAANGACTCCGGCTAAAACACCAAAACTCCACGACTCCGACTCCGACTCCATAGCCCTGCTTTTAACTAATAATTTCGAAAAAAGCATTAATAATGTATAATTATGAACAGAAAACATAAGTACTTGTATTGTACTGGTATATCAGGGGCTAGACGCTTGTGCTCATATCGAGCATTTATAGGGTATGTAAGAAACTTTCAGAATTTGCCGCCATATCTGTGCATATATCACTGTCCTGTGTTTAGCGCACTGTGAAATAACACTATTTTGGAATCGGGAGACATCATTTAGGTACTGTACATAGTGTTACGCGTCTCCACAGGTGCAACGACCTTCTCCTTGTCCAAATTTGGGCTTTAAATGGAGAAACGGCCTGTGTCCAGTGAGGGCTTGGGTCAGTAACCAATTACAACTTTTCGGAGTTAGGCCAACTTCAGGCACGAAGGCGTAGGTCGACCTACCTACTGTACTTAGGTTGCAGCGCTCTTGCCATATGTCATTGATCTTTGCAGTAGGGTACCTTTTATGTAACTAACTGGAAGTTCTACCGTCTCTGTTGAAAATGGTACCATAGCCGCCTTCTTGGCCAAGTGATCGGCACGTTCGTTGCCTGGGATCACGATGTGGCCTCGAACCCATCTCAGATCAACTTGTCGTAAGTGCCTCGCCCTCAGAATCCTACCTCTAATCTCCCGTACCAATCGATCTCGATGTTATCGTATCTGTCGCACAATGCCTGAAGTGACGACTGGCTATCAGAGTAAACCATGACCGGCTCGGGACCCGGATGGTCTTGGATCCACTGGGATTAAAGGATGTTGACCCCACTGAGATCCACTGGGGTCTTGGATCGCCCTCAAGAGGGCCACCAGTTCTGCCTGGAACACGGATGTTTCCTTGTTCAGTCTGACTGGCGAACTGTATTCTAATGCTCTGTCAAGGTATACACAGTATGCGGCGCTTATTTAACTACCGTCTTTAGAGCCATCGGTGTAGATCTCAACACCTTTATATGTCGGTTCACCAACATCCCAGTCGAGTCCAACCCTTTGGCTTAGACTCGACTTGGACTCAAAATATCTGATTGACACGATTGCTTAACAACTGGGTACTGTACATCTGACAAGTGAGTACAGTTGTTTTGCCTTGATGCCTTCCACTGTTGTCTGTGGAAGGCCGCCTCTTGGCTCCTACCAACAGTAATGGTAGTAAACCGGCCAAGATCAGTGCTGTATCGGTGGACACAGTTCTACATGCACGAGTAACCCGCAGCGCTGCAGGCCTCTGGATGGTAAACAATGTTCTACTTTGCTTGACGTTGGCAGAGTCTTTCCACGTCACCGCAGGCATAGCAGATCATGCGCTTCAGAGCCATCTTGTAGATGGTTCGGATTGTTTTACCACGAATAACATAGTTCTGCCTTGTAGTCTGGATAGTGATGCTTTTGCGAAGTTCGTTCTGTCGCGAACGTTCCTCAAGTAAGGTGTCTCACTTAGAGTCTGATCTACAGTGGCGTGCCGTGACATTTGCTGATAGCTGTGTTTCTATAAGAAGCCGACTTCAAGGAGCGATCAGTTAATTCTTTAAATGTATTTTTAATAGATTATTTATCTGACGTAATTAATAAATAAGCAAGTTCAATATAATTCCCTTTGTTACTAGATTCAATAGATTCCCTATGCCCTCTAAATGCCGATTCTTGCTTTGATAAAAACATATAACATCTATTAATTTAAATATATCTATTAGCCGTAACTATTTCGTTATAATTTTCAATATTTATTTTATATTATTTACTAATGTTAAATTCTATTCCGCTTCGATTTCCAAATTGCTTCAAATACGAAAGAATCGACGATTTTTCGTGTCTTTTGCCAGCTAAATTGTCAAAGCCATTCTTATTCCACACACTAATTTCATTTGAAAATAGTAGGCAAGCCAACAAAACAATTTTTGCATTTTTATGCATTTACAGAGCCATTTTATCGTGAAATGTCGAAAAAATTTTTTATTGAAGTGTTTATATTTAACTTAGGCATTGGCCTTTCTCTTTTAATAATGTTTTCTTTTTCATTATATGATCTCGAGCCAAAACTTTTTTAAAATAAATTTTCAATATCGCAATTACATTCTGAATCGCTAGCCACGATGCAAGGGCTAAAATTAAAAATAAAATTATAAAAACTTACTCGGTGAAATAAAATATGTGGTGGATATACATACCTGGTACAAAATATTCTTCAATTGTATGAATATACTTTTAACGAAAATTATAATTAAATATACGTACATAAGTAAATAAACGTACATAAAAATAACAAAATATTCTTTACTCTTTAAATTTTAACCACTTAGTCAAATAGTTCTCTAAGAGTGGAATCAGAGACGGGCCTGCTAGGTGTGCGGTGCGTGCATGCACGCAGGCTGCCAAATCCCGAGGGTACCGATACCGATTAATGTCCAATGCCTCTTTTGTCGCATCTCTAGTATAACTCAAAGAACGCCACAGGATTATTGTAAATTTTAAACGTTTCTCATCATAGCTATAAAAATTTAAATATGTTAAACTTAACAGTCATTTGTTTTCTAACTAATTCATTTTAGGACCAGGTGTCCACGGAAATTTCCAAAATTTACAACTTTTCGGTCGCTCTCCTTGAACTGGAAAAATTTCTGTTTATATTACCTCTAATATTACGAAGAAATCAGTCCCCGCTGTACTCGGCTAGAGATTGGGTCGGTTAAGCTTTTAAGTAATATCCCGGCTCTTTCAGCAGGGTTTTATTTATGTCCCCAATTCCCTAATCGCTTAATTATTTAACTACTTTTTAAATAGAAATAAGTCGAAACCGATTACTTTGTACTTGAATATTTGTAGTCTTTCGAAAAGCGGGCAAAGACAAATTTTTATGACAACGGATATATAAATCGTAAATTTAAGGAAAATAAATTCTAGAGATTTTTCTGTACCTCGTGCATTTCTCTCATTCACTAAATTTAGTTGTAGACTAAATGATGCTGTCAAAGTAACGGTTAAATTTTTTACATTGTACAAGGATTGTACAATGTTAAAAATTTAACCGTTACTTTGACAGCATCATTTATCCCATCTATAAGGGGATGTAGAAAAAAACGTGTACAAGCATTGTACACGTTTTTTTCTACATCCCCTTATAGATAGGATATACGAAATCGTAATATCACTGGTTTAACATTGAAATCCGTAAGTAATATAAGATGGGAGAGCGAAATAAAAATATCTAATATTTTAATGGATTTTTTTAGCACCTCTCAACTATACATCACTATCATAAAAACATACCAGTAAATTCTTATCGGTTGGGTTAAGTTATAAATGTACTCATAATTCACGTAATCGGGCGAGGGTGGCCAAATATCTAGCAGGCAGGCGGCTAACAGCCCAGAACCGGTCCTGGATAGAATTGGATGCGGTATATGTGTAGCATCCTAGGCTTTCACCAGCTAAACCGGGTGAGGTTGGTGTTCTGTAAAGCGCATGCGCGAATCTCGCTTTTTGGATGCTGACGATACAGTGCTTCCATTCCGCCACTAATATTCGAATATACAATAGCAATGTTATTTTTTTCACGTGTAGTATAGAAATTTGTAATAAGATACATAATGCGATTATAATAAAATATTGTGCAATTATTTTCATATAATTAAAATTAATATGTATTTATTTTTTAGAAAATACAAAGGAAGCGGCGCATCCACCGCTTCTAATGACGGTACGCCACTGGTAACTAACCCACTAGGGATGGCAACCAGACGTTGTCGAAAGCTTTCACAACATCCATCGAGATGAGACGTTTCCTGCTGGCGGTTTGGTGAACCAGTCTCACTGCCCAGTGTAGTGCTGTGCAGAATGACGTGTCTGGGCGGTGCCCATATTGTTGTGAGTGTAGTAGCTCTCTCCGCTTTAGATGGTAATAGACTCGGTCTGACGAGATTCTGTCTAATATTTTCCCCACGATAGGCAATGGCTTATCGGTTTGTACAACTTTGGTTCATACTTCGGACGCCCGTTCTTATGTATTAACACAACAGACGAATTTGTACAGTCTCTATTATGTACAGTTTTACACGCAAAAATATCAGAATTATATCCAGGAGAACGAAAAATCCGGAAAAATTTCCGCCGTTCGATAAAGCAGCATATTCGATAAACCGTCGCCGCGTCAGTCCCGACGATGCCGGATTAACGGGATTTTACAGTATTTCTATAAGACATCGTTATTCTGATATTTTAATAAGTTAAAAACCTTTGTCTTGCCAATTTGAAAATTAAACGTTAAAAAATACATTCTTTTAAATTCAAATTTTACAAAAATTTAAATCTGGAAACAATTTTTACGCTACGGAAATTCTTTGATATTAAATATAAAAGAACGAGTTTTATTCAGATAATAAAAAGAATAATTTTATTGTATTTTAAAAAGTTTTAAAACATGCTTTTATTGATCATGTTATTCGAGACTGTGTTGGATGTGGCGGAAGTGGAGTCACCCTACAATATACATCACTACGGTGCATTCATACACATACACACACATCATAATAGAATTTTACAATTGGTTATTTTTATTGTGTTTCAGAGTGGGGAATATGGTGGACATGGAGCCACCGTATGACAATAATAAAATGCATTGTCATCTAAATTTGATATGTCCCGAAAATTTTAACCTTCTGTCTTGATATTTAAAAGGTGCTAATTACGTAGATTCGAGAGGTTTATATTCAGAAATATAATAAATTAATTATTTTTTATAATTTTGATCAAATAAAAGAAATAAAAATAAATTAGATAATTAATATATATAATTTTAAAAAACAATAATAAGCAACAATTTCTGCAAACGAAATTAATTACAGTATTTCCACTCGATTAAGTTTGATATAATCACTTTTAAAGTAAGAAACCAGTCCGGCACTCTATTAAAAAAAATGAAATATATTATTTTTATATAATAAAAACAAAACTTTTGTGTAAGTTTTAATAAGAATTAATAAACTTTAATAACAGTTAAGATTTAAATTTATAAATTATTTTAAATGAAATCAATTTATTAGCATTACCTCGAGTATAATTGCAATTACAGAGATAAAAGCAATTATCTTCAATTTAGATTTTAAGGTTTCTGCTGAGTCTCTCGTTAGCTGTTTCGGTATAAAAGGATGTTAGTTATTTAGATAAATAACTCCTAAGTAAAAATGTAATTAGCATTTTTAAAATTTTATTTCGATTTACGCTCCGTTGCAACATTTAAAGAAAATATTTCACGAAAGAAAAAAAGCATTTGTAAACTAACAAGTAAGATTATTGCAATTATTCTCATTGCAAAGATTTCACGAATCGACACAGATTTTACGATTGACAATTAAAAGTTCATGAATTTGCAACGTCGTATAATAACAAAAGAAAAGTTTTCGCAATTCAGTCAAAACTTTTTACGAAACAAGCGATATTATGTAGAATAGAGACGACTGATTTCACATTTAAAGAAAACTTTTTAATAAATCTAAGATAAACTATTATCGCGGTTTCAATAATATTACTTCTGATTTAAGTTCGATTGTTTCACTTCCTGTGACATCTCAGATATTGATGTTTCTCTACTGGAATCTCAATATCCCAGGAAAGAAACCCTCGGATCCCCGGGATGTTTTTAACCATTTAAATTTCCCTGAGAAATTCTTATTCCGGGAAATACCACAAATTCGTTATAGTTTATTTTTTCTTTATTTTGAGTTATGTCGAGGAAATTTTGCTAATAGAAAGTATAATTAATTAATGTATTATTTTGCAATATATTTCGAATATAATTAATGATATCTTGGAACACAAAATTGTATTTTCTTGAAACCCCGGGATAACCAAAGGCCGGGAAATGAGAAACTCTAGCAGGTATCCTTTAATATACATTTTATTACTAGGATGTATAACAATATACAATGCAGAGATAAAGACTTTTAGATTGGTAATATTGATCATAATCAAGGAATATACCGTAATAAACGCATATACAATATAAAAAATACGCTACAAATTATTTGACTAAAGTTTTTATTTTACTGACGTTTTAATAAATGAATTGTCTCATTGGTAACCAGGTTACAACAGAGGTAAGCCATAACGTGTTTTTTGCAGCATTTCCCTCATACTCACATAAAAGCTGTGAATATCAATTTTTCTGTTCATTTTGTGGATTATATTGATAAGATCGAAGGTATTTAGAAAGAGCTCTGTTGTTGTTGGATTTATAATATCTGTTTTTAATACTGAGAAACATTCTTTGATGTGATTCAGCTGTAGAATATATGGCGGTAAAAATACGCCTTGTTCAGACATACTGTACAATGTGATTATTTTAGAATGGGTACATTTTACGGTATCCATTATTTAAAAAAATCCTGGAAATAATAGTTTTTCTTAAATTTATTGAAAAGTTTTTTAAATATATAAAATCATTCGCTTTTATTCTATTTAAAATTGCATGTTTCGTGAATAGTTTTGAATAAATCGCGAAAACTTTTCTTTTGTTATTGCATGACATTCGCTAATTTGTGAACTTTTAACCATCAATCGTAAACTCTTTATGATAATAATTGAAAAAATATCTTTTTGAAGTGCACATTTTCTTATGTAAAATCTTTTCGTTAAATGCTACAACAGAGTGTAAAATTACTTATTAATATAATCTAAATATATTGGGTAGTCCATTTTAATCATTTCACTAAAATAACTCGAAAAATACGCATCCTACGAAATAAAAAAAAATCATTGAGTTGAAGAGGCCTCAAGCTGGAGCTATCGGTTTCCTCACAGATAGTACTACAATCGATAAAAACAGGGTCTAGTTCATTTTCTTAAATGAAAATTTACGATTTTTATTGGATATTATGATTCTATATCAAAAACAAACTTAGCTAAAACATTTTTCGAAAAATGCACCAAAGTTATGAGCATTTAAAATTTTACGTGGCCGCCACACTGTACACGCGTTAATTCTACGGATATCTGTGTAGTTTAATGGAAAAAAAAATAAGAAAAATGCTAACATTCATTAAGAAAAGATTATAATTTAGTGATATCAATCTTTTTCTTCAAATAATGAACTGATACAAAATTAGTGCAAACAGCATGTTAAACCATCTAGCTTGTTAATATAATAAATATAAGTACGCGTTTTTTACAAATAAAAAATTGTTTCAGTCATTTCTTTTGTTGTTCGCATCATCAGCAGTTCATAAAAATCACAAATACTCACGGAGACGACCTTTTTAGGCTACTGCCTCCGTAGTTAAAATGCAAAAATGATAAAAGCATCATCTGGTGTTCTTACCACAATTACATAATAAATTTTAAGTAAAAATATTAAGTTTTACATGGCCAACGATTATCTAATATTAATATAATAAATATAAGTACGACTTTTATACAAAAAGAAAAATTTTTGTATAAAAGAGATGGCGCCTAACGTCTACCTCTAGTGTCAAATTACTTTATTCCAATCAGAAAAATTTTTTTTGTAAAAAAAAAAACATCTAGCTTGTGATAAAGAAAAAATGTTGATCTTCATTCCATCAAATAATAATAGTTTCTAATGATCCTAAGATAAACGTTGTAGAATTTTTCTCCTTTCTTTATTGAACTTCACAGACATCCACAGATTCATGCGTATACCATGACGGCCGTGTAAAAACTTTAAACTTTTTCTTTGGTGCATCTTTCGAAAAAAATGTTTTAGATAAAAAGTTTGTTTTTAATGCAGAATCATAATATCGAAAAAAATGTGGGTTACAATTTAAGAAAATGAAACTGACCCTGTTTTCACCGATTGTAGTAGTTTTCTTCATGTTAGTAACACCTAAATAGGGGCCAGTTTCCCATAGAAAGTCCTTCCGGGAGACTTTTCCCTTCGGCAGATCGCTCATTGTCGCGTTGCTGTACACGAATAAAAAAAAAAAAACAAAACGATTGTAGTACCATCTGTGAGAAAACCTATAGTCTCGTCTTGTGGCCTTCTTAAACTGTAAGATTTCTGGTTTAATGAATTTTTTCATGGAATGCATATTTTTCAGGTAATTTCAGTGAATTGATTAAAATGGTCAATCTGTATACATATATTTTGATTTAATGTTATTTTGAGTCTGTTTTTCCGAAATTACACTTTTCTGTATTATAATCTCAAGTATGTTAGTCTGCATTACAAATAGCGATAATATGTACCAAATTTTTAAATTAAAACTTATTATAATTATTTTACTTATATAAAAAAGTATTTATTAACCCCTTGATCTTTAAATACCATAATTTAATAGCACCAGTCTACCCTATACACAAGTTATCATACCAAATTTCGTTTTTTAATCATTACCCCATCCATTGATATTAAACGAAATAGACGACAACACACACATACTATACAAATTGTTTTTTTTTTTTTTTGCTATTTTGGGTTCAGGAGTCTCAAAATATGGAAATTTGTAAAAAATTCGGAAGGTCAAATTTGATAGGATTTCAATATTTTCTTTTACTATGTATACATAACAGCCGGGAAAGTAAAATGCAATTCAACTTACGTATCGATAGGAACCTGCTTTAAGTATTCTTGTTGAAAATATTATCTGCCAACATAAAAATAAAATATTTTAAAAATTTATATTTATGCCATATTTAAAAACAAATTTTTTTTTTTTAACCAACATTTCCGTGAGCTCCATTTCTGTAATAATAACGACCGTTATATTTCTGAAAAAATAAATTATTTTTTATTTAAAAAAGCGCAATAATAATTCTTTAAGAACATTCTAAATAATTTTTCTTGCTTTTAGAATACTTACGTACGCATACATTTGACCTTTAGAATCTCCCAGCTTTAAGACGAAAAAAATATTTATTATAATATTAGATTAATCGAATTTACATTAAAAAAGAGTTTTTTTCCTTACCCTCGAATATTTGTAGCCCGAATTAAATTGATACTAAATACATAAAATAATTAATTAGAGAATTACTATATTATAAAGTATTTTGAATATAAAAACTTCAAAATTTAACTCACTTTTCGATACGAAGATCTAAAAAACGACGATGATCTTATCTAGAATAAAAAGTTTATTGAGATTTATTTTATGAATTCAAAGAGCTATTTATACTTACACCAGAAAATGTGCGGGGTTTAGAAGCCTTTCTCTTTACTCGTGCCTAAAATAAACGTTAAAATATTTAAGGCTTATAGTAATAAAGATGTAAAAAGAAAGAAAAAAAGTACATTACATACTTGCATTTTTTTCAATAAATCATTTAAAGTAGACTTATTTGTCTATGGAAAAATAGAAACATTAAGTTATATTTTTAAATATAAAAAAATAATATGCTTTAAAAAATTAATATAAATATTTGTGTTACTTTTTCCATTGCCACGGCATTATCGTTGTCGATAGCTGGTATCTGTAAAATTACCAGTATATTTAATGCATTGTAAAAAACGTTTTATTATTATAAAATACTTATTTTAAAACAAATGAGATTTTCAAATTTACGTCAATAGATTTTTGTTTCTAAGTATCTTATATCGATTAGTATATCAACTTTTTGAATTTATGACTGGACTAAAAATAATACACTTATCCAAGTATATGGTGATCGTAATTAAGGAGTAAGTCTGGTGTTCTGTGCAAAAAATTATTAGATTAATGTTGAATAAACCTAACCAAACTTGGTATACCTACTGACTAAAGTATTCAGTTCCTGCAAACAAATTTTATTTTGAAATTCAGCTTGGGCAAAATTTGGCACTGTTGTCCTCTTAGTGTGCATCTATGAGCATCTTACGTTTTCTGACGAATTTTGAGAATTAAGAAACAAAATGCAATAATTTTATTTCAATTACAGANTAAAGTATTCAGTTCCTGCAAACAAATTTTATTTTGAAATTCAGCTTGGGCAAAATTTGGCACTGTTGTCCTCTTAGTGTGCATCTATGAGCATCTTATTAATATAATAAATATAAGTACGACTTTTATACAAAAAGAAAAATTTTTGTATAAAAGAGATGGCGCCTAACGTCTACCTCTAGTGTCAAATTACTTTATTCCAATCAGAAAAATTTTTTTTGTAAAAAAAAAAACATCTAGCTTGTGATAAAGAAAAAATGTTGATCTTCATTCCATCAAATAATAATAGTTTCTAATGATCCTAAGATAAACGTTGTAGAATTTTTCTCCTTTCTTTATTGAACTTCACAGACATCCACAGATTCATGCGTATACCATGACGGCCGTGTAAAAACTTTAAACTTTTTCTTTGGTGCATCTTTCGAAAAAAATGTTTTAGATAAAAAGTTTGTTTTTAATGCAGAATCATAATATCGAAAAAAATGTGGGTTACAATTTAAGAAAATGAAACTGACCCTGTTTTCACCGATTGTAGTAGTTTTCTTCATGTTAGTAACACCTAAATAGGGGCCAGTTTCCCATAGAAAGTCCTTCCGGGAGACTTTTCCCTTCGGCAGATCGCTCATTGTCGCGTTGCTGTACACGAATAAAAAAAAAAAAACAAAACGATTGTAGTACCATCTGTGAGAAAACCTATAGTCTCGTCTTGTGGCCTTCTTAAACTGTAAGATTTCTGGTTTAATGAATTTTTTCATGGAATGCATATTTTTCAGGTAATTTCAGTGAATTGATTAAAATGGTCAATCTGTATACATATATTTTGATTTAATGTTATTTTGAGTCTGTTTTTCCGAAATTACACTTTTCTGTATTATAATCTCAAGTATGTTAGTCTGCATTACAAATAGCGATAATATGTACCAAATTTTTAAATTAAAACTTATTATAATTATTTTACTTATATAAAAAAGTATTTATTAACCCCTTGATCTTTAAATACCATAATTTAATAGCACCAGTCTACCCTATACACAAGTTATCATACCAAATTTCGTTTTTTAATCATTACCCCATCCATTGATATTAAACGAAATAGACGACAACACACACATACTATACAAATTGTTTTTTTTTTTTTTTGCTATTTTGGGTTCAGGAGTCTCAAAATATGGAAATTTGTAAAAAATTCGGAAGGTCAAATTTGATAGGATTTCAATATTTTCTTTTACTATGTATACATAACAGCCGGGAAAGTAAAATGCAATTCAACTTACGTATCGATAGGAACCTGCTTTAAGTATTCTTGTTGAAAATATTATCTGCCAACATAAAAATAAAATATTTTAAAAAGTTTTAAAACATGCTTTTATTGATCATGTTATTCGAGACTGTGTTGGATGTGGCGGAAGTGGAGTCACCCTACAATATACATCACTACGGTGCATTCATACACATACACACACATCATAATAGAATTTTACAATTGGTTATTTTTATTGTGTTTCAGAGTGGGGAATATGGTGGACATGGAGCCACCGTATGACAATAATAAAATGCATTGTCATCTAAATTTGATATGTCCCGAAAATTTTAACCTTCTGTCTTGATATTTAAAAGGTGCTAATTACGTAGATTCGAGAGGTTTATATTCAGAAATATAATAAATTAATTATTTTTTATAATTTTGATCAAATAAAAGAAATAAAAATAAATTAGATAATTAATATATATAATTTTAAAAAACAATAATAAGCAACAATTTCTGCAAACGAAATTAATTACAGTATTTCCACTCGATTAAGTTTGATATAATCACTTTTAAAGTAAGAAACCAGTCCGGCACTCTATTAAAAAAAATGAAATATATTATTTTTATATAATAAAAACAAAACTTTTGTGTAAGTTTTAATAAGAATTAATAAACTTTAATAACAGTTAAGATTTAAATTTATAAATTATTTTAAATGAAATCAATTTATTAGCATTACCTCGAGTATAATTGCAATTACAGAGATAAAAGCAATTATCTTCAATTTAGATTTTAAGGTTTCTGCTGAGTCTCTCGTTAGCTGTTTCGGTATAAAAGGATGTTAGTTATTTAGATAAATAACTCCTAAGTAAAAATGTAATTAGCATTTTTAAAATTTTATTTCGATTTACGCTCCGTTGCAACATTTAAAGAAAAGATTTCACGAAAGAAAAAAAGCATTTGTAAACTAACAAGTAAGATTATTGCAATTATTCTCATTGCAAAGATTTCACGAATCGACACAGATTTTACGATTGACAATTAAAAGTTCATGAATTTGCAACGTCGTATAATAACAAAAGAAAAGTTTTCGCAATTTAGTCAAAACTTTTTACGAAACAAGCGATATTATGTAGAATAGAGACGACTGATTTCACATTTAAAGAAAACTTTTTAATAAATCTAAGATAAACTATTATCGCGGTTTCAATAATATTACTTCTGATTTAAGTTCGATTGTTTCACTTCCTGTGACATCTCAGATATTGATGTTTCTCTACTGGAATCTCAATATCCCAGGAAAGAAACCCTCGGATCCCCGGGATGTTTTTAACCATTTAAATTTCCCTGAGAAATTCTTATTCCGGGAAATACCACAAATTCGTTATAGTTTATTTTTTCTTTATTTTGAGTTATGTCGAGGAAATTTTGCTAATAGAAAGTATAATTAATTAATGTATTATTTTGCAATATATTTCGAATATAATTAATGATATCTTGGAACACAAAATTGTATTTTCTTGAAACCCCGGGATAACCAAAGGCCGGGAAATGAGAAACTCTAGCAGGTATCCTTTAATATACATTTTATTACTAGGATGTATAACAATATACAATGCAGAGATAAAGACTTTTAGATTGGTAATATTGATCATAATCAAGGAATATACCGTAATAAACGCATATACAATATAAAAAATACGCTACAAATTATTTGACTAAAGTTTTTATTTTACTGACGTTTTAATAAATGAATTGTCTCATTGGTAACCAGGTTACAACAGAGGTAAGCCATAACGTGTTTTTTGCAGCATTTCCCTCATACTCACATAAAAGCTGTGAATATCAATTTTTCTGTTCATTTTGTGGATTATATTGATAAGATCGAAGGTATTTAGAAAGAGCTCTGTTGTTGTTGGATTTATAATATCTGTTTTTAATATTGAGAAACATTCTTTGATGTGATTCAGCTGTAGAATATATGGCGGTAAAAATACGCCTTGTTCAGACATACTGTACAATGTGATTATTTCAGAATGGGTACATTTTACGGTATCCATTATTTAAAAAAATCCTGGAAATAATAGTTTTTCTTAAATTTATTGAAAAGTTTTTTAAATATATAAAATCATTCGCTTTTATTCTATTTAAAATTGCATGTTTCGTGAATAGTTTTGAATAAATCGCGAAAACTTTTCTTTTGTTATTGCATGACATTCGCTAATTTGTGAACTTTTAACCATCAATCGTAAACTCTTTATGATAATAATTGAAAAAATATCTTTTTGAAGTGCACATTTTCTTATGTAAAATCTTTTCGTTAAATGCTACAACAGAGTGTAAAATTACTTATTAATATAATCTAAATATATTGGGTAGTCCATTTTAATCATTTCACTAAAATAACTCGAAAAATACGCATCCTACGAAATAAAAAAAAATCATTGAGTTGAAGAAGCCTCAAGCTGGAGCTATCGGTTTCCTCACAGATAGTACTACAATCGATAAAAACAGGATCTGTTTCATTTTCTTAAATGAAAATTTACGATTTTTATTGGATATTATGATTCTATATCAAAAACAAACTTAGCTAAAACATTTTTCGAAAAATGCACCAAAGTTATGAGCATTTAAAATTTTACGTGGCCGCCACACTGTACACGCGTTAATTCTACGGATATCTGTGTAGTTTAATGGAAAAAAAAATAAGAAAAATGCTAACATTCATTAAGAAAAGATTATAATTTAGTGATATCAATCTTTTTCTTCAAATAATGAACTGATACAAAATTAGTGCAAACAGCATGTTAAACCATCTAGCTTGTTAATATAATAAATATAAGTACGCGTTTTTTACAAATAAAAAATTGTTTCAGTCATTTCTTTTGTTGTTCGCATCATCAGCAGTTCATAAAAATCACAAATACTCACGGAGACGACCTTTTTAGGCTACTGCCTCCGTAGTTAAAATGCAAAAATGATAAAAGCATCATCTGGTGTTCTTACCACAATTACATAATAAATTTTAAGTAAAAATATTAAGTTTTACATGGCCAACGATTATCTAATATTAATATAATAAATATAAGTACGACTTTTATACAAAAAGAAAAATTTTTGTATAAAAGAGATGGCGCCTAACGTCTACCTCTAGTGTCAAATTACTTTATTCCAATCAGANTCGAAAGCTTTCACAACATCCATCGAGATGAGACGTTTCCTGCTGGCGGTTTGGTGAACCAGTCTCACTGCCCAGTGTAGTGCTGTGCAGAATGACGTGTCTGGGCGGTGCCCATATTGTTGTGAGTGTAGTAGCTCTCTCCGCTTTAGATGGTAATAGACTCGGTCTGACGAGATTCTGTCTAATATTTTCCCCACGATAGGCAATGGCTTATCGGTTTGTACAACTTTGGTTCATACTTCGGACGCCCGTTCTTATGTATTAACACAACAGACGAATTTGTACAGTCTCTATTATGTACAGTTTTACACGCAAAAATATCAGAATTATATCCAGGAGAACGAAAAATCCGGAAAAATTTCCGCCGTTCGATAAAGCAGCATATTCGATAAACCGTCGCCGCGTCAGTCCCGACGATGCCGGATTAACGGGATTTTACAGTATTTCTATAAGACATCGTTATTCTGATATTTTAATAAGTTAAAAACCTTTGTCTTGCCAATTTGAAAATTAAACGTTAAAAAATACATTCTTTTAAATTCAAATTTTACAAAAATTTAAATCTGGAAACAATTTTTACGCTACGGAAATTCTTTGATATTAAATATAAAAGAACGAGTTTTATTCAGATAATAAAAAGAATAATTTTATTGTATTTTAAAAAGTTTTAAAACATGCTTTTATTGATCATGTTATTCGAGACTGTGTTGGATGTGGCGGAAGTGGAGTCACCCTACAATATACATCACTACGGTGCATTCATACACATACACACACATCATAATAGAATTTTACAATTGGTTATTTTTATTGTGTTTCAGAGTGGGGAATATGGTGGACATGGAGCCACCGTATGACAATAATAAAATGCATTGTCATCTAAATTTGATATGTCCCGAAAATTTTAACCTTCTGTCTTGATATTTAAAAGGTGCTAATTACGTAGATTCGAGAGGTTTATATTCAGAAATATAATAAATTAATTATTTTTTATAATTTTGATCAAATAAAAGAAATAAAAATAAATTAGATAATTAATATATATAATTTTAAAAAACAATAATAAGCAACAATTTCTGCAAACGAAATTAATTACAGTATTTCCACTCGATTAAGTTTGATATAATCACTTTTAAAGTAAGAAACCAGTCCGGCACTCTATTAAAAAAAATGAAATATATTATTTTTATATAATAAAAACAAAACTTTTGTGTAAGTTTTAATAAGAATTAATAAACTTTAATAACAGTTAAGATTTAAATTTATAAATTATTTTAAATGAAATCAATTTATTAGCATTACCTCGAGTATAATTGCAATTACAGAGATAAAAGCAATTATCTTCAATTTAGATTTTAAGGTTTCTGCTGAGTCTCTCGTTAGCTGTTTCGGTATAAAAGGATGTTAGTTATTTAGATAAATAACTCCTAAGTAAAAATGTAATTAACATTTTTAAAATTTTATTTCGATTTACGCTCCGTTGCAACATTTAAAGAAAATATTTCACGAAAGAAAAAAAGCATTTGTAAACTAACAAGTAAGATTATTGCAATTATTCTCATTGCAAAGATTTCACGAATCGACACAGATTTTACGATTGACAATTAAAAGTTCATGAATTTGCAACGTCGTATAATAACAAAAGAAAAGTTTTCGCAATTCAGTCAAAACTTTTTACGAAACAAGCGATATTATGTAGAATAGAGACGACTGATTTCACATTTAAAGAAAACTTTTTAATAAATCTAAGATAAACTATTATCGCGGTTTCAATAATATTACTTCTGATTTAAGTTCGATTGTTTCACTTCCTGTGACATCTCAGATATTGATGTTTATCTACTGGAATCTCAATATCCCAGGAAAGAAACCCTCGGATCCCCGGGATGTTTTTAACCATTTAAATTTCCCTGAGAAATTCTTATTCCGGGAAATACCACAAATTCGTTATAGTTTATTTTTTCTTTATTTTGAGTTATGTCGAGGAAATTTTGCTAATAGAAAGTATAATTAATTAATGTATTATTTTGCAATATATTTCGAATATAATTAATGATATCTTGGAACACAAAATTGTATTTTCTTGAAACCCCGGGATAACCAAAGGCCGGGAAATGAGAAACTCTAGCAGGTATCCTTTAATATACATTTTATTACTAGGATGTATAACAATATACAATGCAGAGATAAAGACTTTTAGATTGGTAATATTGATCATAATCAAGGAATATACCGTAATAAACGCATATACAATATAAAAAATACGCTACAAATTATTTGACTAAAGTTTTTATTTTACTGACGTTTTAATAAATGAATTGTCTCATTGGTAACCAGGTTACAACAGAGGTAAGCCATAACGTGTTTTTTGCAGCATTTCCCTCATACTCACATAAAAGCTGTGAATATCAATTTTTCTGTTCATTTTGTGGATTATATTGATAAGATCGAAGGTATTTAGAAAGAGCTCTGTTGTTGTTGGATTTATAATATCTGTTTTTAATACTGAGAAACATTCTTTGATGTGATTCAGCTGTAGAATATATGGCGGTAAAAATACGCCTTGTTCAGACATACTGTACAATGTGATTATTTTAGAATGGGTACATTTTACGGTATCCATTATTTAAAAAAATCCTGGAAATAATAGTTTTTCTTAAATTTATTGAAAAGTTTTTTAAATATATAAAATCATTCGCTTTTATTCTATTTAAAATTGCATGTTTCGTGAATAGTTTTGAATAAATCGCGAAAACTTTTCTTTTGTTATTGCATGACATTCGCTAATTTGTGAACTTTTAACCATCAATCGTAAACTCTTTATGATAATAATTGAAAAAATATCTTTTTGAAGTGCACATTTTCTTATGTAAAATCTTTTCGTTAAATGCTACAACAGAGTGTAAAATTACTTATTAATATAATCTAAATATATTGGGTAGTCCATTTTAATCATTTCACTAAAATAACTCGAAAAATACGCATCCTACGAAATAAAAAAAAATCATTGAGTTGAAGAAGCCTCAAGCTGGAGCTATCGGTTTCCTCACAGATAGTACTACAATCGATAAAAACAGGATCTGTTTCATTTTCTTAAATGAAAATTTACGGTTTTTATTGGATATTATGATTCTATATCAAAAACAAACTTAGCTAAAACATTTTTCGAAAAATGCACCAAAGTTATGAGCATTTAAAATTTTACGTGGCCGCCACACTGTACACGCGTTAATTCTACGGATATCTGTGTAGTTTAATGGAAAAAAAAATAAGAAAAATGCTAACATTCATTAAGAAAAGATTATAATTTAGTGATATCAATCTTTTTCTTCAAATAATGAACTGATACAAAATCAGTGCAAACAGCATGTTAAACCATCTAGCTTGTTAATATAATAAATATAAGTACGCGTTTTTTACAAATAAAAAATTGTTTCAGTCATTTCTTTTGTTGTTCGCATCATCAGCAGTTCATAAAAATCACAAATACTCACGGAGACGACCTTTTTAGGCTACTGCCTCCGTAGTTAAAATGCAAAAATGATAAAAGCATCATCTGGTGTTCTTACCACAATTACATAATAAATTTTAAGTAAAAATATTAAGTTTTACATGGCCAACGATTATCTAATATTAATATAATAAATATAAGTACGACTTTTATACAAAAAGAAAAATTTTTGTATAAAAGAGATGGCGCCTAACGTCTACCTCTAGTGTCAAATTACTTTATTCCAATCAGAAAAATTTTTTTTGTAAAAAAAAAAACATCTAGCTTGTGATAAAGAAAAAATGTTGATCTTCATTCCATCAAATAATAATAGTTTCTAATGATCCTAAGATAAACGTTGTAGAATTTTTCTCCTTTCTTTATTGAACTTCACAGACATCCACAGATTCATGCGTATACCATGACGGCCGTGTAAAAACTTTAAACTTTTTCTTTGGTGCATCTTTCGAAAAAAATGTTTTAGATAAAAAGTTTGTTTTTAATGCAGAATCATAATATCGAAAAAAATGTGGGTTACAATTTAAGAAAATGAAACTGACCCTGTTTTCACCGATTGTAGTAGTTTTCTTCATGTTAGTAACACCTAAATAGGGGCCAGTTTCCCATAGAAAGTCCTTCCGGGAGACTTTTCCCTTCGGCAGATCGCTCATTGTCGCGTTGCTGTACACGAATAAAAAAAAAAAAACAAAACGATTGTAGTACCATCTGTGAGAAAACCTATAGTCTCGTCTTGTGGCCTTCTTAAACTGTAAGATTTCTGGTTTAATGAATTTTTTCATGGAATGCATATTTTTCAGGTAATTTCAGTGAATTGATTAAAATGGTCAATCTGTATACATATATTTTGATTTAATGTTATTTTGAGTCTGTTTTTCCGAAATTACACTTTTCTGTATTATAATCTCAAGTATGTTAGTCTGCATTACAAATAGCGATAATATGTACCAAATTTTTAAATTAAAACTTATTATAATTATTTTACTTATATAAAAAAGTATTTATTAACCCCTTGATCTTTAAATACCATAATTTAATAGCACCAGTCTACCCTATACACAAGTTATCATACCAAATTTCGTTTTTTAATCATTACCCCATCCATTGATATTAAACGAAATAGACGACAACACACACATACTATACAAATTGTTTTTTTTTTTTTTGCTATTTTGGGTTCAGGAGTCTCAAAATATGGAAATTTGTAAAAAATTCGGAAGGTCAAATTTGATAGGATTTCAATATTTTCTTTTACTATGTATACATAACAGCCGGGAAAGTAAAATGCAATTCAACTTACGTATCGATAGGAACCTGCTTTAAGTATTCTTGTTGAAAATATTATCTGCCAACATAAAAATAAAATATTTTAAAAATTTATATTTATGCCATATTTAAAAACAAATTTTTTTTTTTTAACCAACATTTCCGTGAGCTCCATTTCTGTAATAATAACGACCGTTATATTTCTGAAAAAATAAATTATTTTTTATTTAAAAAAGCGCAATAATAATTCTTTAAGAACATTCTAAATAATTTTTCTTGCTTTTAGAATACTTACGTACGCATACATTTGACCTTTAGAATCTCCCAGCTTTAAGACGAAAAAAATATTTATTATAATATTAGATTAATCGAATTTACATTAAAAAAGAGTTTTTTTCCTTACCCTCGAATATTTGTAGCCCGAATTAAATTGATACTAAATACATAAAATAATTAATTAGAGAATTACTATATTATAAAGTATTTTGAATATAAAAACTTCAAAATTTAACTCACTTTTCGATACGAAGATCTAAAAAACGACGATGATCTTATCTAGAATAAAAAGTTTATTGAGATTTATTTTATGAATTCAAAGAGCTATTTATACTTACACCAGAAAATGTGCGGGGTTTAGAAGCCTTTCTCTTTACTCGTGCCTAAAATAAACGTTAAAATATTTAAGGCTTATAGTAATAAAGATGTAAAAAGAAAGAAAAAAGTACATTACATACTTGCATTTTTTTCAATAAATCATTTAAAGTAGACTTATTTGTCTATGGAAAAATAGAAACATTAAGTTATATTTTTAAATATAAAAAAATAATATGCTTTAAAAAATTAATATAAATATTTGTGTTACTTTTTCCATTGCCACGGCATTATCGTTGTCGATAGCTGGTATCTGTAAAATTACCAGTATATTTAATGCATTGTAAAAAACGTTTTATTATTATAAAATACTTATTTTAAAACAAATGAGATTTTCAAATTTACGTCAATAGATTTTTGTTTCTAAGTATCTTATATCGATTAGTATATCAACTTTTTGAATTTATGACTGGACTAAAAATAATACACTTATCCAAGTATATGGTGATCGTAATTAAGGAGTAAGTCTGGTGTTCTGTGCAAAAAATTATTAGATTAATGTTGAATAAACCTAACCAAACTTGGTATACCTACTGACTAAAGTATTCAGTTCCTGCAAACAAATTTTATTTTGAAATTCAGCTTGGGCAAAATTTGGCACTGTTGTCCTCTTAGTGTGCATCTATGAGCATCTTACGTTTTCTGACGAATTTTGAGAATTAAGAAACAAAATGCAATAATTTTATTTCAATTACAGATGTGAAATGTAAAATTGATTACACCAAACACCACCTCCATGCTCTGAAAGCTGCATTCGATGCACAACACGCGAAATGCAACTGACCCCGTGCAATTGTCTTTTAAAAGGGTTAGGTTTACAATATTTCCTCGATAAACGAGCCTCTTTAGATGGTTTTAAAACCAAAAGTCACGTGGGGTAGGGCTGGCGATCCGTGACGTTCGAAATGATCGTCTAATCATTCTCTGGTGTGAAAAATGTAGCAATAAGGCTTGCACATTTAAGCCAATACGTGGGAGTACACCGTCTTGCATAAAGTTTGTGGCGTGTGGACAACTTCTCTGTAGCAGTGCCAAAAAGACGAAGTTTTGGAGCATCTCTGTATCTCTGATCCAGATCGAGAGTCTTTTCTTCTTCATGATCTGCAATCTATACTATTATTCTATTCTGTTTCTTTAATCATAATACAACCGGTCAAAATACGTTAATTTTCTAATATTTTAGCTATTTTCACATCCTAGAAAGGATCTGAAAATAGCTAAAATATTAAGGTATTTTGATTGGTTATACAGAAATTTATTCTTAAGAGGTATATATAATGACTTGGTGAATTTATTGACACTTGGCAAATAATTTCATCATCAACTTTTAATCCATATATCAATAGATACGCGTTTCGGGCTTTCGCCCGTCTTCAGTCTGTTACATAGGTTGTATCTTGTGGACATCTGTCAGGCACCTTCCGCACTACGTCTTCCCACTCCCCTTCCATTCCCTTCCGACTTGACGGCTTCCCCCGCATGCCTCGTAACGTGAAACATCTCACACCCAGAGTGCCACACACAGCCCCACCTACGACTGTATAAACGTTCTATTATAATAGTTGTAGCCAGTTTTTATGAATTTCTATACTTAGATTCTCGTTAATATTATTTTTGTCTGTAGTAATTTTGTAGCTTTCCTTAAATTTTCTTTAGTACCAATTTTTTCCTTGTGTACTATTATAACGTCATTCTTATCTATATTCTGTTATGAGTTGTGCAATGTTCGTAAAAAACGGAGTTGATTCTATTATATTTCAAATCCGCGGTGTGTTCTTTTAATCTTGTTTCTAATCTTCGTTTTGTTTCTCCAATATATGCGTTTGGTAGTTCACATGTGCAGGGTATTTTATAAACGACTTCAGTAGTGTTGTATTTATCTGGTTGTTTATTTATGCCAGGTTTAGCCTTCCGGATTCTTTTTTGCAAGTTGTTATAAGTTGGAGCTAGTTTTATATTTATTTTATCGAAACTTTTATTTATCTGTTCAAAGAAGTCACGAATGTAGGGGAAGGATATGTATCTTACTCTGTTTTTCTTTGTTTTGTTTACTTTTCAGCCTATTGTTGTTGATTTTACTTTCCCAGTTATTTATTATTCGTTGTGGATAGCCGTTTAACAGGAATTTAGTTCGCAGTTCATTGAGATGTTTTTTCTTCTTCTGTAGTGAACTTGTTCTGTTCACGATTTTTTCATACTCCATATTGAATATGTTTTCTTTTATGTACTGTGGGATGTTTGAATCTTCTTTTGTTTCAATCTTTTTTAGAATACTTTCTATTCGATTCCAGGTTATCGAAGGGTACATGTTTACAATATCTAGGCTTGCAAGTCTGTAATTTTTGTTCATCGTTATATTTTCCATGTCATGTATAAGTTCATCTGCGTGTTTGATGGAGTATTCCGAATTTTTATACTTTTGTAATTTTTATTTTAAGTATTTTTCTAAATTATATAGGACTGAATTTTTGAAGTCGACGATGGGTCTTATTTGTTCGCCTGGTTTATGTGTTTTTAGTTGTATGTTTAGCTTAGGGGTTCTGCTATTTTCGTTTACTAATATATACTGTTTATCTTCTTTTTTTATGTTGTTTAATTTAACTTGCTTATTTATTCGTTTCTTGAGTTCATATTGAATATGTGTCGTAATGACTTATTTTGGGTCTATTGGTAGTTTTCTAAAAGACCCATTATTAACCATTTTTGATTTTTTGATTTGGATCCACTCTTGATATGATAATCTGTTTTGATTTATTTGCTTTTATGATATCTATGTCATTTGCTTCAAAGTAGGTTTGTAAATTTTCTATTCTATCTCTATGCTTGACGTACGATTTTTCAGTAATTTTCTTACCTCTATTTTCGATTTTTAAATAATTTTTTAGTTTGTTGCTAATTTCTATTTTTATATCGTTGTAATCCTCTGGGGGGTTACTTTACTGCATATATAATCTAGGTGTGATATGATGTCTAGTTTGTTCCAACGGTTTGGGCCGTTAAAGTCCAATCCATTTTGCAGTATTTTTAGTATATTTCTTGGTATCTCTACGTCAGTTTTATTTAGCACTAACTTGTAAGTTATCTTTCCACTTTTTGATTTCTCGTAGCCCGGGTATTCAAAATCTTTTGCTTACTCGTGAAATTTTCTTATCCTCGTAATTATCCGATTTTCCCTTTTCAGATCTTTCTAAGTTAATATCTTGTTTAATACCTAGTTTCTTGAGTTTCTTTTTTAGTTTGGTAATTGCTATATATTTATATTTGATTGCTTCCTTTAATATTTTTAGGTTGATTATATTTATTTCTCTATTGGGTATGGCTTTTTCAATAGTTTTCGGTAGTGTTAATGTTTTTGAGCGCTCGTTTTTCTCTAATGTGTGTCTTAAAGTAATTAATTTAAAGTAAGTAATTTAAGACACACATTAGAGAAAATGAGCGCTCAAAACCTTATCACTACCGTATTTTTTATGGGCTATCACAAACCCATATTGGTATGATGATGATAATACCACAAAATCTGCAAAAATTAAAAATAAAAACTGTAATGACCAAACGACAGTAAGTCTATTCCATTATCTAGAATGAATTTTTTATCGTAAAATGAGGAAAGAAAAATTGTATTTTGTAAATATATTGTTACTACATGATTTTTGCTTTTTGTTCTGTATTGCCGATGTCTTAATAGTTTTCTATTGAATAAAATTTCTTTATATTTATCATGATTAAATGTTTTACAACAGATTTTTAAATTCCCTTAGCGATTTTTGTATTTTGTTTATCAAAAATAAAAGAATATATTTTTGGTTTTAGAAAACAAAATTCAATTATCGGTTTCGACAGCATTTCGTCCTTAAAATATCCTAATTTATTTTTGTTCGTTTCGTTATATAATTTGTGAGTTTGGGAATAATTTCTAAAATCAAAAATATCTGTAAACGATTTAAAATCCTCTCGTTTGTATAAATTCGAAGTGTTAGAGAATCCGTGTCTGTATAGGCTACATTAATAATAAATGTACGTTTTCACCATATCTGTTTTTAAATATTTTATAAAATGTTTCATATATATATGTGTAATTTGCTTAATTCTGATATGCAAAAACCTATATAAATAGGTTTGTCTAAAGTTAAATTAGGTTTCTTCATTTTAAAAATTGTGAGATTATCGTTTATAATTTGAAAATTTTCTACAGATGGTTTAGAATCTAAACTATCTGTAGAAAAGTTTTATTTTATAAAATATTTAAAAACAGATATGGTGAAAACGTACTGTACATTTATTATATACCGGCATTTATTATTTGTAAGCTTAATTTAATTTACTCCACAAATTTTTATAATAAATATCAACCGGGAAAATAATTCCAGTATTGAAAATAAAACTATTACTTTTAAAAATTATTTGTAATCTTAATTTACTCTACAAATCTGAAAACAATTTCATTGAAAAATTAATTTTGTGATCAGTGCTATTCAAACCACTACTACTAATGGAATTTGATGTGAATATTTTTCAAACCAACTACAAGTTGTAAGTGTACACAAATAAGCTTGTCGATCTACAAAATTTGCCAAGACCATGTGATCATTTGAACTACGAATATTATCGCAAATGTTTTCGGTTTATCATTATCACCAGAAACCAATCCTTGACTATTGTATATCTTGTGTAGAAAAAAGCAAGATTTCTGTCAAAAATTTCCACACCGTCGTGTAAGGCATGTCTAATTGCGTGATATTGCACTACTGCTGCCACGAGAATTTTCCATTTCGTTCTTCGCTACTGCAGTAGTAACGTCTTTTGTTCTCAGACGTGCAATCGGTTTGCGACCCTGTCCCGATTTCACAGAGAAAGTCCCAGTCTTCTCAAAACGCAATAGTCGAAGGACCTCTTAGTAAACCTTTTAAGCGCAGAAATTACTTATTGTTTTCGTTATGTCGCTGTTTTGTTGATAAAAGAAACGCAAGATCGGATAAAGTGAGCACTGTGACTGTCTACTTACCGAAGAATTGCGAAAAACGTTTCGTGACTCGTTTTATATTGAAATTCACATACGTAGCATGTACATTAACGGAGCAGCAGCACAAATTTTCCCGTAGCGGCTTTAAATTTGCAGAAATCGAAACAGTAAACTCGGTACAGTATATACGGGTATAATAAATGTTGTTTTTCCAATAGTTTAACACCTCTAATTACGATCATCCTGTATTATGCATGCATCTTGTGAGAGAGAGAAACACGTTTAATTTTAAACATTATCGCCTTTCTTCTTCGGTGTTTTGCCGTTATTTAAGATGTAAAACTTTGTAATCAATTTCAAAGAGTTTTTGTATTAATTGAGTGTTACATATATTTTTTTTAGATATTTGAGATTCTATGTACTAATTTTATCGAGTTTAGTTTCTAATCTAGATTTGTACAGTACATATATTACATATACGGGGCATGCCCAAAACATCGAGATATATTTTATAATTGTTTTAAGAATGGCTAAAATAAAAACTTTTTGCTATTAGTTTTGGCTACAGATTTGATATTTTACTATATTTACAGCATGTTTTATCATATTTATTTTGGCTGTTACATCGTTCTTGTTCGGTGTTCTGTCGTAGCGAGCAGCTTCTTAGAACACCATCTTATCCTCCATACTTCCCTGTCTGCTTTCGATTTTAGGTCCTTGTAGCTCATTCCTTCCTTCAGGTCATCTATCACCTTAATTCTTTTCCTTCCTCTCTTTCTTCTGACGATCACCCCATTCCTTAAAGAGCATTTGAGTAGGCTCTCTTCTCTGATCATACGAAAAATCCAGTTTCGTTCTTTTACCCTCTAAAAATTTCGCATTAATTTCTTATTCTTGTTTACTCTCTTTATCGTCACTGTTTATATATTATATTGTAATCATTTGTTTTCATTTTAAACCTTCATTTTATGAATCTATTCAGAGTTATTTTTAAATGATGAAAATTACTCTTTTTATAGCCTACCGATAATACAATATTGTACGAAAGGCAACACACATCATATCATTACATCAATATTTTATTAAATATTACATTGAAGAATTTTTGTGTATTGTATTGTAAATAAAATTTATGAATACTTTCGATAGCCAATTACTAGAGAAAAAGCAAAAACGCTGTATATTCTGCTTTAAAAACCATATAATTTTTTTTGTTAACTTTAATTTTTAAAATTTATATGTCTATAAAAATATAATTTGATTATTTAATAGATAATATATTATAAATATTAAATTTTAATTAGACCTATGTAATTTTACAAATCGTGAGGCAATTTCCCTAATATACCGTATGTAATTAATTAAATAATTTCATTTAAATAATGGAAAATGCAATTTATAACTCACTTCAGTGGCATTTCCACATCCCAGTTCTTCCTGTAAATAAATTTGAATATAATAGTCATAATTAAATCAAATAATAAATTTCACTATTGCAGATATCTTCAACCTTTTTCTGAGGATTCTGTGAGCTGTAAAGACAAGTCCAGAGATCAAGTACAAAAGACTGTTGAAATTAAGATACCTGTAGTTTTATTACGGAATAACAACGGACACAAATCAATGAAAAATTTGCAATTGCGTTTTTGAAAGGTCATCAAAAATTTGGGATAAATTTTATGGCAACCCGCTATTGAAACCTCCTTTAGATATTGGTCGAACAATATTTTGATTTTATATACAGTAGGGCCCATCTAAATGCGATCAATACATTCCAAGATTCCTCGCGTAAGCGGAAATTTGCATAAAATACAAACTGCATTTCCTATACTAACATAAGTATGACACATTTTTATATAAATAGGACAAACAAACACTCTACTAACAATAAATGACACGATAACGTAAATCACGAAAATAACATTTAAAAGTTTTAATACTCTTTCTCTCTCTCATTTTGCAAAGTAATTTGCATAAATGAGACAGAAGCATTATTGATAACACGCCGACAAGACACGTTACAAGCGAGAACTCCGGACAACATAGCTGCCAGTAGACCTTCTCCACAATACTCCCTCGAAAGATATTAATATACCCGTATAATATATTTGTAATAAAAATTTTCAGTGTTTTCAATTTATTTCATAACATGTCTGCAAATATCCGCCAATTCCTCAATATCCACACTTTCCTCACAGCAGTTAAATTATTCGCAATTGGGGAAATTTCGAGGAAAAGAGCGAGGTGGATCCTAGAGTTTAGTGAAAAACAAAGGAATGAATCGCAGTAACGCTTTCCCAGAACGAATGTGTCTAAGCGAGATTCTGAGAGACTTCATGAATCCTGAAAAATGGCACGCAGTTAAGAATTTTTATTTTACGTATTTTTCATTTTTTTTGGATTGCCAATGATGTAAACCTGAAACCGCGTATGGGTGGGTTTCTATTATACTTTACTATCGAAAGGATTTTTTTCTCATAAGTACTGTACTTGGACAAAAATTAAAAAATATCCCTCATGAAAACTTCTTAAACTTTTAAAATTTTCTTCCGGAGGGAGATTTGTAAAAGTTTAAATAGCTTTAAATTAGTTAATTAACTAATTATTAATTAATAAATAACTCGTTATTAATTAACCATTTGAATTTTTACAATTCAAATGTTGATGATAAAACGTATCGGTAAAAATGAGCTACATGGGCCAGATAAATAGGCTTCGGGGGCGGTAGGTGGAAGATCTCCTGCAACAGTGAAGAAGCAACATAAAATTATCTTTTTACACATAATATTAGAACGTAGATTAAGAAAATTTTTCTTTTGTTAAATAATTATGATCGAATGTGATTACTTACATAAAGATCCAAAATTTCTTTGGAATATTCCGTGTTCTGAAATTACAGAAAAATAAAATAAATTTAAATTGAGGTACATTTTATCATTTCGCAGAAAAATCACATTATCAGAAGTCGGAAATGTCGAACTCATGATACTGGCGCCCGATTGATCGAAACGTACCACACGACCCGAATGGCGTCCTCCGATCGATCGAGTTGAAATTATATCACATGCTCACTTTCGACCAATCGGGACTCAAGACGGCTACGAGGTCATAATTCAATGTGATGGCAGATACAGAGACGAGGCGTCACAACTTACGCGATGTCGTAATATACCTTAACTAATCACAACTTTAATATTTTACAGTATAATTTTTATAGGTACGAACGCGTTAACTGGTTGAATACCATTAGTCAAAATAAGTCGGAAAAGACTGCCTTTTTAGACTAGTAATTTTGCAAAATTATGATTCAAATATCAGAGATTACGATCTACGTTCGAATATCGTCTTATGTAATTATAACTGACAAATCAGATGAAAATCTTATATACTGTAAGGTCTCTTTTTATGCGGAATATTTTTATGCGATTTTGAAGTTGTGCGGTTTGTATTTCATCCAAAAATTTCTTGACAAACATATATATAGGCTTGTTTAGGAAGCCCGCGTATAGACAGTCTCCAAAAATCGTGGAACGCTCAAAGCTCACTCCATTTGTTCCACTGACATATAACGTTTATGGATGTAAAGGACAGCTAGATCTATTTTAATCGCTTTAATTCCTAGCAATTTTTGATATAAATGTAATTAAACATAAAAAATACTTAAAACTGAAAAAAACGAAAGAAATGCGTTAATTTTGAAGAAAAAGCTTCAAAGTTTAACTTCCTTTGCCTTGCCCTTCTGTGAAATATAACACCGATGAGTCATTGTTTACACATCTGGATGACCTTGAACACAGCTGGAGTTGGATTTTCCGGGGCATTCTCATAGACGTTGCGGGAGGACAAGGGTTTAAAGTAGGGTGAACACTAGCTGGCCGTATATTTTTAAATATTTTTTAAAAATTTGGAGACTTAAAAAAACATTCCAAAAATTCAAAAAAAATATTCAAAAAGGTCTTAAGGACCGTGTTTTATGTAACGCTATATAACCTTCCCGAGTTAACTCGGGCGAGGTTAAAATTTTAATTAACTCTTCACATCCAGATGTTAGTGATTTGTTTTTATAGTGAGCTTTTGCAATTCGGGGATTCCCCTTGTATTACTTTTCAATAAAATAAACTGAATTAAGTTTGAATACAAGTTTATTTTAAGCTTTTATATGAATTTCTTTCAGACATTCGAAGTAATTTATTAAGCAGCCTATTTCTTTTAATTTCTGCAAACTTTTTTATGCGGTTTTAAGTTAATTTTAACTCGTTGTTTTGGTTTTATGCGATTTTAGAAAATTACGGAACGTATCCCTACTT